GGCGTTCACAGCTTAACGCAGCACTTTGATCTCCACTCCGAGGCTTACCGGCACCTGGGACTGAGCCCAGGGGACAGTATAATAAGCAAAGCACCACATTCTACAATAGTTTCAGTTTCTCAACAACATCATGCAATGCCATTACAGCAATCTAATCGAGGTGACAAGTGCTTGGATAACTGAAGCAAAGGCCATATTAGAAAGGACAAGGTGCACGCTCGTAGCGAAGCAGAGATGGAAAGTTTGCACAGCGATCGATGCATCGGCAATCGATTTAGCGGGTCTAGTGAAGACCTGCTAAATCGACTGCAGATCGCTCTCCCGTCGACTCCTGTACTCCACCGGATGGAGAGGAGTCGACCGGAGAGTGTCTCCCATCGACATCGCGTAGTGTGGACCCCGCAGTAAGTAGATCTAAGCTACATCGATTTGAGTTATGCTATTCACGTAACTCAAATTGCATAGCTTAGGGTACGTCTATACTACCCGCCGGATCGGTGGGTAGTGTTCGATGCATTGGGGATCGATTTATCGCGTCTCGTCTAGACACGATAAATCGATCCCTGAATCGATGCCTGTACTCCACCTCGGCAGGAGGAGTAAGCGGAGTCGACAGGGGAGCCGCGGCAGTGGACTTGCCGCCATGAGGACGGCCAGGTAAGTCGAACTAAGATACTTCGACTTCAGCTACGCAAATAAGTTGCATATCTTAGCTTGAACCCCTCGCTAGTGTAGCCCAGGCCTGAGACCGAATTTTCCCTGTAGCGTAGAAAAGGCCTAAGAGTAACATAGGACCTCACACCATCTTGGCTGACACCCTGGCCTCACTGATAATGGGAATTTTGTCACTGACTTCAGCAAAGCCAGGACTTCACTCCCAGATTGCAAAATTCTGAACATCAGACCAACAAAATGATGGTCTCACACTCCGTCAAACAGGGGCACCAACATAATCTGGACTGAGCTTCAGCAAAGTTCCAACTCATATAGATACTGGGCCAGGTCAGTGGTGATGAAACAGAGCTAGATGCCAGCATATTGACTACACCCCTCCCTACTTTCCCAATGGCCTGATATATCTGTTGAACAGGAGGGGATTAAATAGGCCCTTAAGATAACCTCCAGAGAGGGCTCTTAGGGGCAGAGGAACAATTACCAAACACTATCCTGCAGCAACCGCAGACTGAGGAGGGCATACGGAGCCTTTCCTCTCAAACAGGGCTCAGGTCAGTAATGGGCAAGAGCTGTTGCCCTGTCGGATGGCAATTTAGTGGCCTGTGTAAAATGACTTGGTGGATCTGAGTCCAGTCCCGGGGGCAGAGAGGCGAAGGTCTGAGCAGGCCACAGAGATAGGGTTGCCAATTTTGGTTGGACATATTCCTGGAGGTTTCATCACATGACATAATCTTTAATTTAAGATTAATCTTTAATTCCTGGGGACTCCAAGACAACTCTGGATGGTTGGCAACTCTACACAGAGACCAAGCCACTAGAGGTCATCCCTCCAGCTGGCAGGGCGATGTAGGGAAGCTACACCTATTATATGGACAGAGAGCGTCAGCCTCCAGGCCGGCTGAGCCAGCAGTTTTCCTCCATGTGAAGTTTATGCAAAAAGCCACAAAGCCCCTTTTCTGTTCCTTCACTAGAGCCTGTAACCGAGTCCTGAAGAGATTCAGCTGGTTAACATCATTTCTATTTTTAGCCAGTCTGCCTTTTCATCTGAGGACCATACTGTGTCATTATCTAGTCAGGCCAGAGGGAGGGGTAGAGCCAGACAGTGCATCCCCTCTTTCACTTGGAAACTGTGCTGGGAGAGGAGGGAAAAAATATGTGGTTGTAAATTGCTTAATCCAAATGGAGAGTAAGAGTGTTAAGAGGGAATCCATTTGTCCACTTGTCAATAGCAAATAGAAAAGAGTTCCTGACAAGCACGGTGAGGTGGCTAAACCATCCATTCCATGTTTCTAGCCCTTGTAGTTGTGAAGGGAACCTCCCAAATTTGACCTGACACAGTGTTGTCTTTCTGAGTCTGCAAACAGCTCCAGGGCCTCTGGTGCTGCTCAGATCTTTCCCAAGCACAGAGAGAATTAAGACATTAACATGAGACGGAATCCTGTGGGCAGCAGTGAAAGTGACAAGACTCACAGCACATTCACTCTGCTGTTGCTTGAGTAACCAATGAACAGCAGTAAAAGCAGGAGCTGAGGAGGACCCTTCTGCCAATCCCAGAAATAAAGGAGGCTGGGAGAGGAATATGGGAGGTAGCGAAGAGGCAATATCCAGCAAACCATCTCCAGCCACGAGGGGAAGGGGGGGGAAGGGTAAGCTCCTTCACCCTTTCAAAAGCCAGAAACGGGCAAGGGGAATGCTTCTAATGAATAGAAGCCTGCTAGCCAGAGGCTGATACAAGACACAGAGGAGGGTCCCAGGAACTGCTCCCTTCATCGTTCTCAGCAGCTGGGGTGACAGGCTTCTTAGCAGGGCATTGCCTCAGGACATGATGGGTTGGGACACTCCTTTCACAGTTGTTGCTAAATGAAGGCTGTATGTTTCTAGTCATGTGATTCACTAATCTCATCTGTACAGCTGAATAATTTACATAGCCACTAAGGGAAAGGACCTGTCACCTGTGACTAGTGCAAATTGCACCCAGGATTAATCCTCAGGCTACAGGTGTCTAGTAATCCTTCCATTAGGCAAGCAGTTTGTACATTTTTGTATTCCCTGGGGATGATAAAAGACATACTGTAGTTAATTATAGGTCACTGTTAAGTCAATTCTCCTTTTAACACCGTTCGCTCATCTTCAGCTTAATGTCCAGCAGAGAACAAAAAAGCAATGTAATCATTGTAGTTTGCAAAGGTTTGCTAGTCATCTTCTCATGTCCTTTCGCTAATGCTGAATAGACGCTCAATACTGTATAGAGCTCAAGCAGCTGCCCGTTATTTAATGGCTCCGTTAACCACGAGATCCATCAAGATTTTGTTAGAACTCTAGTCAAAAAGTTCTCAGGAAACTAAAATTAACAAGAACTGTGGGATTCTACAGAAATTAGTTTAAAAAAAGGCAAATCCAAGTATGTGATTTACAGAATAGAATTCTGATGTGTCTGTGGCAGCAGCTGAAAACACCTCCTTGACCCATTTTCTCTTTCTAAACCCTCAACCTGCTGGGCTTCTCTCTCACCAGGCCCATGTTAAATATTGGTAAGACTTGCAACACTACCTGCCCTTTAGCCATGATCACCCAACTGCAAGAGAGAGAGATGAGCTTTGCCTCATTAAATCCAGCTGCTTCCTGGCACCAAACCTCCTTGCTAGGTCAAACTCTGTAGCTACTTGTGCCCTTTGCACCATTCTGTATATGGAAGAGATACTAGAGGGAAAATCCTGCTTCTGCAGAAGGGGGTGGAGTAGATATGACTTAATAAATCAGAGAAGTTAGAGACTGAAGAGACCTATGACCTCTTCCCCGTCCCCCCCGCCCTTTGCCAACTTCTCCCAGTCACGTCTCTCCTTTAGTGCATCAAGGCTATAAATTGGATGTCGAAAAAAATCACAGGCAAATTTCACCTTGTGGCCTGTGACAGGCATTCTTCACAGTACCAGGAAAAAAGCCAGCTCTCCTCTGGACCCGACTTTTCCCTTGGAGGCTGTGCACCACCGACTGACGCCCACCAAGGATCTCAGCTCTGGTTTGCAGGCTGCGGTACACCGTATGAGAAAAGGGAGCCTCAGGGGACCAACAACTTGGGGCAAGAATTTGGGGCAACAAAGTGCAGCCCCCTCAGAAGTAACGTCAGGCAGCTACGCATTTGGTACAGTGACTCCTGTTAAGAATGGAGACGGTACTCCTCTGCCATTCCTTTCTAGCGCCTCCTGCTAGCCAGAGCTGGCACTGGAGTAGCTGTGCAGGTGTTTCGTTGTTCTGGATTTGCCACCATTTTAAAACAAAATGTTAAGGGAGCCTGAGGTGAACCCAGAAGAGCTAGAAATGCTGGAGGGGTGAGAGGGACCTGTGACATCGAGTGCTTTCTGGTGTAGCCACTTTTCCCCCGATGCCATTCAGACAGGCCAAAGGCACCCAGACCCATTCCTCACAGGCCCCTCTGCTCTCACTGAGCTCAATGGCAGCCGAGGGCACGCAGTGAGTCATAGGACAGTGCCCAGGCAGCAGTGATTTCAAACAAGGGATTAGTGTAAACACAACAACGTGTTCTGTAGGTACACTGAAAGCAGACTGCTGTCACAGAACCATCGCCTCTCAGCACGCGCCCCGTCTTTTCTTTATCGTTTGTGTTATATAAATAAAGTCTGATGGTGTCCAAATGCCACCTTTCCAGAGGGGCAAGAGGTTTGCACATCCTGGGTTGTTTGCCTCCCTTCCCCCCACAAAGAATTACCCTATCCCACAAAGGGGGGAAGGGTGAATGTGGCCCCACAGCCAATCGTGGGAGCCCTGCCCAGAGCCGGTCATGTTATCAAAGACAATAAGCATACAGGGATGGGCAGCATTATCTACATCCTCTATGGAATGGGGAAATGGGATTCCCCTGCAAGAAGAGAAGGTGACCCACTACCAGAGCCCGAACTCGTCAGGGCCCTACGCTACGTAAATAGTCTTCACCCTTCGATAAAATCACTCGGCTCTTCCTCCAGTGGAAAGAAGCCCACATCAAAAGATCACCCCACAATGGGACCTTCTTGCTTAGGAGCGAGTTGATCTTTACAGCCCCTAGGTCTGAGCAGAGGCAGTGACGCAGCTGCTTACCACACACGACCTACGGAGTCCAACCCCAGAGGCCTTCAGATTCCATTGCGGCTGGTCCCGTCATTTCTGAACAACAATTTCTGCTTGAAGATATTTTTAAAAATTAAGCCTCCCAAGTCTTATGGGGGCACCCACAATCCCCCGCCAGCATCCTGCACCCCTCACACATAGTGCCTATGCCCCCACCCCCATCTCTCACACTCAGTCTGGGAGGACCTGGCCCTTCCTACCTTCCTCCACATCATTGCGAGATGCTGCCTCCAGCAGCTTGATGCTCTCCGGAAACAGCACTCGCTTCTCCTTGCTGCTGGTTTTCTTCCTCTTTTCTGCTCTGGCCTTCTTGCCGTGAGCCTCCTTTTCAAACTGTGCCCATTTCTTCAGCTGCTGCGTCCGGCGCTTCTGTGCATGCTTCAGCCGCTCCTGGGTGCTCATCCTGGCCACTGCTGGCATCTCCGCCAGCAGCTCCAGGTGCTCCGCCATGGCTGCTGCAGGGAAGGGAATACAGACTGCTCCTCGTCGAGGTCTCGATTCCAGACACAGGAGCCCCAAGGCGCTGGGAAGAAAGCCCAGGCGTGTATAGAAGAGAGGCGTGAGGATCCCTGCCTCCAGAGGGCATCACCTGCACCACTTCAAACGGTCTGTCGCCAGGCCACAGCCTCAGAGAACATGAATGGTGCAAACTTGTCTTATACCTGGATCCTGGTTGCTTTCTGGGGCTCTGCCACCCCCTCTGGAGATAGAGGGTTCTGCTCCATAACCACCTCTCTTCTCTGGGTTTCTCCGAGTGGTTTGATGGTCTTCCCAAGCCTCAAACACCCAGAGTCTTTCCCATGAGTTGGGAGTCAGCAATCTTTCCAGAAAAACACTCACCATGCAAACCAGCTAACAAGTAACGTGCACTGTACCATTGGTGAGAGAGGCTCCCGCTCCTAGCCCCTCAGCCCAGCAAACGGCCACGCAGGGACGAAGAGCAGCAGCAACAGAAGCTTCGTTCATTGGGCTTAGAATCTTTGCAGCCTCTTTCCACCTACACCCGGTTTCATAGGAGGCCCAAAGATACCCATCCAACACTCTCTCGGCTCTGCCTGCGTGGTTTCAAAGGTAAAGGTAGACAATTAAATTAACAGCCCCGGAGATATAGCCATCCAGACAGCCACCTCACAGGTCTGAGCTAGCCCAATCAGTTCTGTGTCCACACTGCTCTTTGGGAGCAGACAGAAGGCTTAGGAGGTTAAGTCAGGAAATCTGTGTCTCTCCCCCAGAGCAGCACTACTGCTCAGTCCTGTATTAAGTCAGTGGGGTGCCACCCCACCTAAGCCTTTACACCCCAGCAATTCGTAGTACAGAGGAAGGCTGGACGGATTCTCAGGCACACTCACGGTGGGAATTATTACAAAGTTATTTTGTCTGTCACCAAGTCCATGCTCGGAGGCTAATTACCTGGATAACGTCCTCCCTTTTGCCTCCTGTGTTCATGAAGCAAGGGCTGTGGGGGGCAAACAAGGGGAAAATGGACTGACGACTTAGCTGCAGCTGTCCTCATTCCAAGCAGCAACCTTTAAACTGGGCTCCTCCCAGTACCAGGAACCAACAGGTTATTCCAGAAAGCTGTGTAAGGCTGCTGTGTCCTCCCCACAGAGATCATTCAAAGCTGCCCAACGGAAGAGAGAAACACCAGTGAATAGCTCGTGCCCATTACCACCATAAACCAGCAGCCCCCGAAGGACCGAGATCAAATATCAAGCAGAAGAAATGGGAGGAAAAGGCAGATCCACGCGCCCCTCTGTGTCACCGTATCCACAGCACTGTACAATCCTGTCACAGCCGTTGCAGGGAGAAATCCCTTCTGCATTCGTTTTTTCCATGTGGTCTCCAGTCTTTGCCACTTACGTTCTTCCAGGTGCTCGGTGAACTCTGAGAACATGGATCCTCATTGTCAGAGGGACAATCCCACTCCACATCCCCTGGTGCTCGGCAAGTTAACGTGCTTCCCTTGGAGCCACTGGAAAGCCCTCCAAGAGGAAGCGGTCGGTTTGCACTTCCCCTCCCCGGGGTGGACACAAAGGAGAGCGGCACAGGAGCTGGATCTCTAAACCTCGGATTGCATCCTGGCAGCTCGGGCAAGTGCTCAGGCGGCCTTGCTGGACTCGCTGGCAACTCCTCCCTCCCTGCAGCCAGTCAGAGAGACATTTGAAAGCTGGGCTTAGCTTCCTGCTCTCCTCAGCCGAGTGGAGCTTCACGAGTCCTGCAAAGAAAAGAACAAGGGGAAAAAAACCAGAGGGGGGTTAGGGCATTGCTGAGGGGAGAGAGCCTGCCCCTCCCGACAAGACCCTGACCCCTCTCTGCACCCCCACCCGATGCTGTTTTTGCCCTCTGTTAATCCAGGATTAACCTACAATCAAAGTTTAAGCAAATTACCCAGAGCTTTGCCAGTAGCAATTGAAAGCGTCTTTCTCCCTCCCTGAAGCTGCCTGCACCGGCCAACCCTCCAGAGCACACCTTCCTGCCAGCAGCATTCCGACAGACCTGCCAAGGCTTGGAAGCTCGCAGCCTCCCCTGCAATCCAGGGTGCTGCTCGGGTAGGCTGGCATTCAGAGCACCAAGAGGAAGAAAAGAAAAGCTTCCTCTAGGAACAGAGTTGCACTGAGTTAGCCGATGACAGAGGCGTCTGCCCCCCAAAGGGTGAGCCACAGAGACACGGCCGCTCCATCCCCCAAGCACATGATTTCATTGTCTCAGACTTTATTTGAAGAATGTTCTGCAGTTCAAAGCAGTAACCGTAGCCACCCCACCAGGAAAGCTCCTGTGTAACAGCCTAGCCTGGAAACAAACCCTTTCCTTCTCCTTGAAGGGTCACTAGGCCCTGCCAACGAGGGACAGATTATTTACTTACCTGAGGACATGAAGTTTCCAGACTTGGCCGAGGCCTCTTATTATTGAATCAGAGAAGGGAAGAAACTTACTAGGTCTAAAGTGTACCTCTGGGGCCAATGCAGGACTGCTCCCCGGCTCTCTTAGCACTCTCAGTCTAGCTGGGAACAGCAACACGCACTTTGCCCTTCGGAGAGCCCAAAACACTGCTAGCCCCCTGGGGGAGGGACTGCCTCTTTGTTCTCTATTTGTACAGCCCCTAGCACAATGGGGCCTGATCCATGACTGGGGCTCCTTGATGCTATGGTAATACACTGTGACAGACCCAGACCAGTGGGGTACAGGAGTCTGGTAGAGGGCAAATATACTGGTCACTGGATGAGTAGCTTTCT